CTCATGCATTGAAACCACACTTAAAAACATGGTTCTTTTGCGTGTCAGGCATTTTCCATATGTTGACATGGAAGCTGTCCTGACAGGTAAGGTAGAGTCTTCCTGACATCACGGCCAGCAGAACCCTTATAAAAACATTCACGCTGTTATTATATAAGATCAAGAAATAGGATAAAATTTGGCTCACGTAATCATAGAATTGTGTATCTAATCACAATCATAGAATGATAGAACGGCCTGGGTTGTAATTACCACAATGCTCATCCAGTTTCAACCCCCTGCTGTGTGCAGGGTCGCCAGCCACCAGACCAGGCTGCCCAGAGCCACATGCAGCACAGCGTGCTCATCTTCGTATTTGAAACATGCCTGCATTGCCTTTAAGATACCCACAGAAATGCAAAGAAGTGTCTCGCAGTACAGCCTCCCCGATCTTAGCATCAGCAATTCTTATAGTTATTAATTTATACATTGTTTGAATGCAGAATGATTTCTTTCTCCCGATAGCCGGCGCTCATTGCTGGGGACGCGTGTACACATGCATACTTGGGAGAATGAGTAAGGCTTCACGGGAGCTGCTGGAGGACATAAAAGGAAATCTGTTCTGAACTGCAGACGTGGAGCTGACTTCAGAACCACCACGAAATATTAAATAAATTATTCAGCAGCTCTTAGTGGTTGCCATAAGTAATAACAAATCCAAAGCTTTTGGTGAAACTTGGGAATTTTATGAAGCGAGCTTGAGTTCTGATGTGAAAACTGGATCTGACTGCAGGTCTGGTGCAAATAGTTGGGGCTGCATACAGCACGTGCATCCCTGCTGTCAGTTATGGCAGCACCATCCTGCTGGTGACAGTTACCTTGCCTTCGTATCTAAATGCAGCAATGCTATAAAATTAGAAGTAATACACAGTTGATGGTGATACAGATTGGCTCAGGTGAAGGCACTGCAGCAGGACATGCTGATGGATGCTTCCGTCATGTGGACAAGCTGCTCCACCAGCCTGTGTGTCACTGCTTAGTCTTGATTTATATTTTAATTATCTGGTCCCAGAATTTGTAATCAGGGTTTATTTCCACGAAAACGATGATCCTTAGAAACAATCATAGGGAATCAATGATTCCCTTTCTGGTGACTTGCATTTTTTTCAGCTCCTGCAGTTCAGTCATCGGTTACACTTTAAGTGTGCAAACAAGATAATGAGCTTAAATCATCATTTCTGCTGGGAAGAGCCAGTAAATGAGCAGCAAATGGTCATGGTCTGAAGGCATTCAGGAAGGAACCAGGAGGCGACTGACAGCACTGCTTGGGGCTGTGCAGCCTCTGCCCAGCTGTGGCCAGGAGCTGCAGCTGCCAGCAGATGGTGGTGGCACTCCATGGCCCTTCTGGCAGCGCTGTGCTTGTGCTGAGCACTCAGCAGTGCTTCATCCAGCACCGAGCTCAAACTGGAGTATTGCACGTAGTGATGAGTGGGAAACAGCTTGGTGATCAGAGCTTCTTCCTTAGCAATGCTACTGCCATCCTGAGTTTGGTAGTTTTAGTTTTTTTTCACGTTGCCAGTATTTTCTCAACATATAATTTTTAATTAATTGCTACTGTCAGAATGATTGATAAAGATTTGTGTCACAGAATGTGGTGCAACTGCAGTCTCAGTTCAGGTGGCACTTTCCCTGAGGTCCCAGAGCTTTGGGGCACACAGACTGCGGCAGCCAGGAGCTGCCTTCTTCTCCCCGGGGCTGTGAGGTTGTGGAACCAACCTCAAATTGTTCCAGGGAGGGTCAGGTTGGCTATGAGGAATGATTCCTTCTCAGAGAGCAGTCAGGCAGTGGCACAGCTGCACAGGCAGTGGGGGGTCACCATCTGGGGGTGTCCCAGAGCCGTGGGGATGTGGCACTGAGGGATGTGGGCAATGGGCATGGGGGGGTGGGTGGAAGTGGGCATGGGGATCTGAGAGGGCTTTTCCAGCCTTAATGATTCCATGAGGGCAACTGAGCAGCATCTCAGCAGTCCACAGCTCGTTTGCTTTTGGCTGGTTACTCTGACCAATCTTCTTCACTAACCTGCGACTGTACTTATTTCTAGGTCCACCAAATCCCACAGGGAGACAGACAAGTGAAGCCTCCAAAACCCAAGAGGAGGAAGATCTCTAGATAACATTGAATGTCTTTGTTACTGGTCCAGTACTTATCAAAACGAACGTGCACATAAGTCTGTATGTAGGTATTGATATAGACGTGGTTATATCAATATTTATATGAAGACGGCCGCCGCCGCGGGGTGCTACGTGGAGTGTGGTACAGTGTGTGGATGAGCAGGAGGGAGAGAGGTTGCTGGAAAAGCCAATCAGAAATCTGGGAAGGTTACAGTAACCATGTCAGATGATTACTGAGGGGTTTTTTTGTTTGTTTTTTTGTTTTTTTTTTTTCTATAATACTAAAATTGTGATTATAAGGAATAGTCCAAATGTTTCTGAGAAATTTTCATTGTGTATATAGATAATACAGAATTTCATGGTGATATCTGAAATGTAAATATTGTACAATATTGTCATGTACAAGCGTACCTAATGCACACTTTATCTTTTATTGTACAAAAAAATAGTGTACAAAATTCTTTGGTTTCTATTGAGTACACATACAAGAGACTACCAGTGTAAAGTGATAAATAAAAATACAGCCTAAATGCTTTTATATGATAATGTAAAAGATGCTGTTTTTGTATTTAACAGCAGAGAGAAGGCATGATTATGTAATACCTTAATTATGACATACACTTCACGCCACTGAGTGTCCATTTATCCTGTCTGTTTGGAATGAACCTTGCCTGGAAGTACTGTACTCCATTTCAGGTCTCTGTAGGAGAGTGCAACCTTGCAGATTCCTAACGGGATGTGGGATCACAGCTCTAAGTAATGATTCAAAGGCTGCAACTGTTGGTTGCATTTTTATTTACTTAACTTTTAAAGTAGAATGGTGTAGATTTTATTAAAGAAAAAAAAAAAAAGTAGATGGGCTATTTTAGTCAGCTATTTCTGTAGTTAAGGTTTCATAGCCACCTGCTAAAGTAAAGAGTTTCTATCCCCAGTAACCCTGACCCCAAGCACCTAGGTTGATTAGCTGAAATTACCTGACATTGTGAAGCATCGCGTTGGCTGTTCATGGGGCTCCAACCCGTGACTGGTGCTGGCTGCAGATTGGTTTTGCAGAATGCATGGCATGCTCCCAGCCCTCAGAGAGGTAATCCCAGACCCATCTCACAGTCCTGAAACAGAAAATCAGGGGTGGCTTACAGAACTATTAGCAGCAGTAATTTTTATCAGTATTATGTAACATATCAGATTTATTTTATTTAAAAAGAATTATTTATACCATTAACAGATTTCTTATATATATTAATGTGGCTGAAATGTGCAGGTTAAATCTATTAACCAAATTATTTATGTTATATTAAGTGAGAAATGTGAAACAAATGTAGAAAAAATTAATACACTACAGATTTAAAAGTCTAAAGCTATGAGCCATTATAAATTAACGAACAGAAGTGTAGCACAACGTTATTTCCATTCTAGCTCATACATTTTTCATGTGGATGGTGGTGATGGAGATGGAAGCAGTGACACCCTCTGTCCTCAGGGCTTCCTGAAATTGCTCCCAGGTCACCGCTGGCCCCCGGGCACAGCCAGAGCTCCCCTCTGTCCTCCCCCGGCCCAGCACTGGCAGCAGTCAGCATCCCGTTGGCTCCGGGAGCAGCGGCCCTGCACGCAGCCCGTGGCAGAGGCCAGCTGACCCCGAGGACCCGGCCCGCAGGGCTCCAGCACAGAGCAGTCCCTCCGGGCTCACCGCTTCCTCGTGTCTCACCAAACAGCTCTCTCTCCTCCTTCCCCAGCCCGAGGGATCGCAATAGCTACACTGGCTACAGGGGCCTGGAGCAGGAGCCCTTCCTTCCGCGGGGTAGGTTCATTTGTCATGTGTGTAACGCCACGGTCCTACATGCAAACTCATGTGGAGTGATTGGTTTTCTTCTTTTTGCGTAGCTTAGTTGGCATTTTTCTGTTGCGAGTCGACGCGTTCGTTCCGTTCCAAGATTGACGCTGTCCGTTCCCATCGCAGCCCGCTTTGCTGCCGTGTGTCCCGCCTGTGCCGGACGGCCACGCCGCGGTGTGCGCCTGCCTGCCGGCGTGCCTGCCTCCGTTCGGTTGGCTTCTGCCTTTGCTTTCTGTCCTAGAGCGGAGTTTGTATCGAGCAACCTTCTTTTGGCATCTAACTCCTTAGGTTTGTACTTCCTCACCGCTGTATACTTTACATCAGTAGACCATGTAAAGTATTTTCGTGCACTTGATTTCACTGGTTAATAATGGCATTGATGTGGGTGCTAGGAGTAGCTTGTTTCAGTCCATACCATTTTTTTTTTCTCTCTTTTAGAGTTTTTATGGTTTCATGTAAGCAGTTAATGTAAATATTGTGAGCATTACAGGTCATGCGGTGTTGTAACATTTTAAAAAATGTTGCACCTACTTTACGATTAAAAAACTGGTCACTCATACTTGAATTTTGCCCATAGAGCCATTTCTTTCTCTTTGCATTAAAGCCTAATATACTTTTTTGATGGAGGCCCAACCCTTCTTTCTACCTTATTATTTTTTGTTTAATAAATCTCTATTTTTTCTAATAGAAGACTTAAAATGAAACTTTAAAAAAGAAAAAAAAAAAAAAAAAAATTAAGAATAATACTTTTTGCCTACTTTCTAATTTAAGAGAGAATTCCTATATTTAAAAGGTGAAAAAGAAAAAAAAAAAAAGAAAGAAAAAGAAAAACTCCATTGTGGAAAGTGGAAGGAGGCTGTTGTCCGTCCGTGGCACAGTGACACAGAACCGCCCCGCGGAGCCGTGGCTCCCACTATTTATTTATTTATTGCTCCTCCGCGGTGCCGGCGCGGTTGGGGTGTTCAGATGAAAGGAAATTATTCCTCTTTCTGTTATGGTGCATTTTGTGAGCACCATAAAAAAAAAAAGAAAAGAAAAAAAAAAAAAATCATTTGTTTTGATGGATTTTCTTCGTATTTTCACTTCTTGCAGAGAATGTTTTGCTGGAATCAGCTGCAAAAGTAATATTCACTGAAGGAAAAAAATACTAATTCCCACCTCTGCTGTCCCAGGTTCTCATACTCACAGTCTAAGGATTTCGGGGTTAGAAGGAACGTAACATTACCAGGTATTTCCTAACTGAGTTTTGCAGAAGGTTTCTAAGTACTGTGATACCCTTTTGGAGTCCCTGAGTTTGATGGTATAGAAGTTGTTAGAGGGCTCGTGGTGGACTGAAGTACCTTAGGCCTGCTACCTTTCTTAGCTACATTTGTATTTTGCTATGTAGGGTTGTAATGTGAGAATTCCAGAAGAGCAGTAGCATAAAAGTGCTTTTCTATTTTTAAAAAAGAAACCCATTCTAGTCTTACTAAGAATTAGAAATTTTTTTAATATCAGTTTTGTAATTTTTGATAAAGCTGTCAATATTATGATTAAATCACCAGAAAAAAAAGTTCCTGTGATGTTCTCTTCGGGGCAGGGACTGTCTCCTCTCATTGCAAAACGCCAAGCACGCTGGGACGCCCAGGCTTAAATCGGGCCGTGGGCACGGCTCTCAAATTTAATAGCAACCAACTGCCATAAGGTTGAATTAAAGGCACCAAAGCCAAGTGAGTTTGCAGCTCAGCCCACGAGCCTGGGTCCTGCCCTTAGTTGGTCCCCACGAACGCGGGTAGCATCTGCAGGTAAGTTGGGAGCTGCCGGCAGCCGGGCTTTAGCTGGTGGAACCCGGGCACGGAGCCACACCAGGACACGGCGTCCAGGCCCCTCACTGTGGTTTGTGGCAGCAGCACCAGCAGCACCAGCAGCGAGCCCTCAGTCACAGGATGCCCTGAGAACCCAGTAATGGAGTGCCTTCGATTCAGTGCTGATTTACAAAACCCCAAAACACGTAAACAGGTAACTTAGCTCCAAATTCACTGCAAGCTCAGTTTAAACCGACGTCCAGAAAGCTCTGGGAGAACACTCAAGGCTTCCAAAAAGCCAACGGAGCGGCAGCCGCGATGTGGCAGCTGGCAGCAGTGTGCTCTGGGGGCTGGGGCTGGTGGGGAAAGCAGAGGCATCATGTACCTGCTCTAGGCTCAGAAGCAGAGGTCAGAGCTGGAGCTGTTTGCTGCCACACGGTGCGGTGCTGTCAGTGCTGCTGCCACGTGCTGCCCATGTGCTGGAAAAGTCCCACCAACCTCTGCTGCAGGCTCCAACGTGAGCTGCAAATGAATGAACCGCAGTGAGCTGAAGTGGCAGCACTTGCTATTTAATGTGCAGTTGAGAGCTGAGCAGGGGTAAGTCAGGCCTCCAGTTCCCTTCTCTCGATCCTGGGTTTTGCTCTTTATTTACTTATTATTCATATTTGTTTCTTTATGAAAGAAGTTTTTGTTGTTGCTTTAAAAAAATCAGAGATTCCATTTGACTGCAAGCAGCCCCCACAAAACACGGGCTGGAGAGATTCTTTCTCTCACATTTTTACCTGCTGTGAGATAAGAATTTGGCTGTAATTGAATGCTATTGCAACAGGAGATAGGGGCCAAGGATATAGAACAGAAATAAAATAAAATACAAAAGTAAAAAAAAAAAAAAAAGAACTGATCTTTCTGAAAATTTCTATTCCAGAAAAGGTACAGAATCAGAGAATGGCATAGGTTGGAAGAGACCTTAAAGATCATCCATTTCCATCCCCGTGGAGAACAGGAAGGGTTTCCCTTTCCATACTGTGTGCACAGCCCAGCGCAGTGGCACTGCAGAGTGGGACCCCCCACTCCTTTAAATAGCTAAAGGGAGCCTATAAACAGGAGGGGAATCAACTCTTTGAAAGGGTTGATAACTGCAGGACAAGGGGAAATGGTTCGAAGTTGAAGGAGGGAAGATTTGGGTTGGACGTGAGGGGAAGTTCTTTCCCATGAGAGTGGTGAGGTGCTGGAACAGCTGCCCAGAGAGGCTGTGATGCCCCGTCCATCCCTGGAGGTGTTCAAGGCCAGGTTGGATGGGGCCCTGGGCAGCCTGGGCTGGTATTAAATGTGGAGGTTGGTGGCCCTGCGTGTTGGAGCTTTGTGATCCTTGAGGTCCCTTCCAACCCAACCATTCTGTGATTCTGTGATTCTCCTTCCTGCAGACAAACCCCAGGGAAGCAGTAGTGCAGGTTGGCAGGAGCTACAGCAAGCAGCTGTGCATCCTAGGAACATGGAAGAATAAATGCTCCTTATTAAAAAAAAAATATATATATATATATATATATAACTTCTACACATGTGATTCCACTTGACGTTTACTTAACAGTAAGTGAACTCTCATGCAGGTGTGTAATCAGGTACAGAAAGAAGCAGCAGAACCTGGCATAACTGAGAGCCATCCAAGCAACTGAAGCCTTCTCAGATGTTACAGCCAAGGGAAGAGGTCTAGAGGAGGGGCATCTCCAGTAATCTTACTTCAGGAGTTCTCAGCTCCTCCAATGACAGATCTTTAAGGCTTTTTTTGTTTGTTTGTTTGTTTGTTTGGAAAGAAAGGCAATTTTCTGGTTTAAAAAAAATATATAAATATGAATATATATATATATATTTCAGTTTCAGGAAAAGAATTTGTTGCTTCTGATTTTTTCCTGGGATGAGAAAACATCATAAAAATAACAAGAAGTATTGGAGTCTGCCATTACCTGTGATCAGTTCTGGAAGTTCCTCTCTGCTTCTGAGGGAAAAGAAGTGAACATTTACCCCTGAAAAATAAAAGATTATCCTAGTATTACTTTGTTTAATTGTGGCTAAAAGGACAATTTGTGTTTCCATGCTTAACACATCCATGGAGTTTCAGGCCAACAGAAGTTGTAGTTCTTTGGACCAATGTTGCTACAAAAAGACAGCTGAAAAAAAACATCCCATAATGTGAAATTAATTGCTTGGGCACAGGAGTGTCCTCACTGTGTTCTGTGTTCACAAACAAGTACCCCAGCACTCAGCTGCCCACTTAATTATTGATATGTGGTTGCTGTCTTGGGGCTGGGGGGAAGGTGGGGAGAAACAGGGAAGGCCCAAGAGAGGCTGGAATGAAATCCTCGTCCCGTCAGAGGGAGGCACGATGGCCCCGAAGTGACAGAACAAATCTTGCCCAAGCAGGCAGATAATTCTCAGCATATGACAAAGACCATCCGGCTGTCAGTAGCTGCTTCCCAGAAATAGCCATGAAGCTATATTAACCCACGTGGAAAAAAAAAAGGCACTGCAAGTACCCAGAAATGGTGACTGTTTTCACAAGGTCTTCTTTTGTGTTCCAGCCCAGAGGAAGGCAGTTACTGCAGAACAGAGCAGAACTACAGTACAGGTGACAAGCATGAGGTGTGTGAGGGGGATTCAAGCAGGAAACCTGGTGTGAAAAAAAAAACAACATAATGAACTACAGTTAAAAATATCTAGAAACAAGTCTTTTTCAGTATCTTGCTTACACTGTTAGTGTAGATCCTACCCTGGGACAGCTGTTCTTAGTTTCAGTTGCTGACAACACCCGCTCGTCTCACACTTGCTGTGCCTTTTACAGATATTCAGTAATTTATGCTATAATGAATGGCATTAATACAAAATCAGATCAGATACTGGCACATCTGCCCAGAGGGTGGGGGATCACTGTACTTGGGGGTGTCCCAGAGCCATGGTGATGTGGTACTGAGGAACATGGACAGTGGGCACAGGGGAATTGGGCTTGGGGATCTCAGAGGGCTTTTCCAGGCTTAATGATTCCATGGTTCTGTGAAATTAGGAAAATGGAACACTTGGGATTTCAGCTAACATCATGAGAGCCTTCTGTCCATTTGCTTTTTAAGTTATGAATGTTATAGGCCCTTATGAGCCAGGTGTGCGCTCACAAACCCATATGGGTTACCAGGAACCCCATAAACCAGTGGGGAGATTAACAGACACCCCCCTGAACTCCAGAAACAGGGATTGCTCTGTGCTGCTCCAAAGGACTGAAGCTGTGCTGACATGTGCTGTAAGGACTCCTTTTGCACAATTGAAGTCTGATCATGTATGCGGTATTTTAAGTAGAAATTGAGCTAATAGCAGCATAAACTAGAATAGAAAATATGCTTAAATTAAAAAATAAATAAATATAAAAGAGACCATGGTGGAAGATTTGCCATTCGATACCTGTTTGAGTTTGTGGCTATTGGTTCATCCGGTGAAGTCTTCAGGGCAGGATGCAGAATGGGGATCCGTGTCCAGGTGTCCAAATCAGTCAGGAACTGCCCCAGGCTGCTCTGCAAGCCTTAGGAAGGAACTTACTCCTAGGGACTCCCATCTAGAGAGAAGCAGGAAAGTTTTATATGCTACAGCATGTGCTACAGTAGCAGAAAAAATGATGCTGCTCCACTTTATCCATTGGTGTGAGTGAAATAAGAATTTTTTTCCTTGAGAAATAGGAAAGAAGACAACTGGCCTGGGAGAGCAGCAGCAGGACAGCCAAAGCACCCCTTTGCTTCTCTCAGTTGCAGATGAAGCATCAAGAAAAAAGGCAGTGTTCCCTCAACCTTTACAGTTGATAGGTTGTCTATGATAGAATAGTTGACACACACAATAATGTCTTAGAATTAAAATTAGCTTTTAAAAAGTACAAACTTCAGGAGATAAAAGCACAAGTATGGTATTTGCGACTGTAATATCTGCAAGGCTGATGCTAGAAACAGCAGGACAGTAAAGTAACAAGAACAGCACCTTGGCTCCTACTTAATAGATCTTGAATCCAAGGGTATCTTCAAATCCCTTCTCTGCTGAGGTCAGAGCAGAGTGGGAGGTGAGAAGCTGTAAAAGGTGGAAGAGTAGAAGAGCCCTGGCAGCGATCTCATTTGCACCTGTGCTAAGAGTGAAGGGGGATGAGTTTGTCTTACAGTGAGGCACAGGTTGTTGCTGACAACACAGGTAGGCATGGAAACACGTGTCCAAACTACATGTGATTGTTGCCCAAATGCGTGGGAGAGTCCTGGGAGAATTAGTAGGAAGCACAGTCATGTTGCAAATTAAATCTGTACAGAGCATTTCTGTCATAAGCAAAGAGGAAATTTTAGCATTAGTTTAGTTAAATATGTATTTACACCCTACAGAACAACAACAAAAAACATCTGCATGTGTACAGATTGATCTCCTTCCCTTAGAGCAGAGATAACATCACTCGGTTCATGCATATAAGGAAAGCAGCAAAGCACAGAAAACAACAAATTATGAATTATTCAATACAAATGTCAGGTTTTAGTAGTAAATGTAGATGTAAACCTTTTTTTGAAAGGCTAAGCATTGCCATTAAGCAAATCCATGTGACACTACATCTGTTGGCTTTCTTTTATATCATTTTATGTGTGTTTGGGAAAAGTATTGGGAGTTTTGATATTAGATTCCTGATAACATTATTTCCCCAACTTCTGCTGTGTACTGATGTAATGTTTGTTGAAGGGATGAGGTTAAGACAGCAGCCACTTTAACTACCCAAGCTGTAAGGCTTCAGGTGAGAATTTGTTTTGCTGGAGAAATTGTAGTGTTGAAGTGAAGCCCCTGAATTCCATGCACTGAATGCAAGGAGTCCAATAAATGTGACTAGTGGCCATTTTCCCAGTGTCACCTCCTGATCTGACACGTGCACATGATATCATACAGGATAGTTTTTGAGTCAGTCTGTAAAGATTTCTTCCATGTGTGCAGGGAAAATACGTTTGGATACAAATCTCTTAAGTTCTCCCCTTGAATCTGAAATCACTGATGTCTCCAGATTTTTATTGTGAACTGCTTTTCGGTCCTGCTCACAATAGTGGTAATTCAGTCCCATCTGTCCATTTCCTTTTGTATTTCTTTCATTTCAGTGTTGTCATATTTGTCCCCCACTAGCTGCACTCAGACAAAGCTGGTTTAACTTCTTGCAGCACGGGGGAACAGTGATGTTCACTGGAAGAGCTGGGAGGTGCCTGTTACTTTGAAAACAGATGAGAGGATTGTGCCAAGGGATTCCTATCTGCTCCGTGCAATCAATCTGCCCAAGTATTTCTATAGCTCTCATTATCCTGCGTGCCTGCAGGATAAGAAACTTAGAACAATTGCCCATTGTCAGTTTATGAAACAACTTTTTCATACTCCTTCCCCAAAGACTAAATACTTAATTAAAGAAATTAAAATTAATTACGGAATCTGTACAGAGAGATGCTATCGTGCCGGTCCCCGCTCTGAGCTCTCAGCTGTGTGGGGCTGGGATATGCACCAGTCCTCAGGAGCAGAGTCCTCTGTGCTTCTACTTCAGAGGAGATCATTTCCTGTTAAGCAATACATAAATATAAAATAGGCAAAGTGAGTTTCTAACAAACCTCAAAGCATCTCTGAGTATATTTTAGTGATTGCTCGTACTGTGTAAGCGAGAAGTTGAAAGCAAGCCAAATTCCAAAGGACATGAATGTCATATTTCTATTAATTAGCTTTAATATGAAGATGTTGCCGCCAATTATTTACAGTGATCTTCTTCCTAGCTGTTTTATATGGGTGTCTTAAGTATCTAATAAAATAACGGATTAAGCAGCGAGAGCGAATGAAGTGCATCACAAAGATAATTGAACCTGCAGCAAAATGAATTTGATTTACCCAATTGGAAGTGTAATCAGCCCACTGGTTTCTGACCCTAAAAGTTTTAGGAGATGAACATCTTCAAAATAAGAAATACTTTTAGAAGAGCAAATGCACCCCTTCCTCAGGATCAGCAACATGTGCAGGCAGCAAGCTGGGCTGTCCCCATCTCAGGACCAGGGGACAGGGAGCAGTGGGGCCAGCAGGTGCCTTCTGTGCCTGTACTTAGATCTGAACTTTTGAAAAGGGTTGGTGAATATTAATTAAAAGAGCTGTAAACAGAACCACATGATTAAAATGCTGTGGGACCTGTTTGGTGGGAGCAGTCACAGGTAAACAAACAGTAATGTTGCAGCCTTGTAAATGTGAGCCTCTGGTTTTGTGGGTTTGGAGTGAAGCTCTCCTGGGCCTGGAACAGTAGAACAGAAAACGAATGGCATTCGTTCCCATTAGCTCCCTAACAAGCAGACTGCAGGGGAGCAGGCAGTGTGGGCAGCACACCATACAGTAGGTGGCATCATCCAGGCAGTACCTCCAAGCCACTCTCATTCTCTCCGTGGCAGTGGTCCAGCAGTCTGACTACTTCACCATTGCTGACAAAGGGAAGATGCTTTGCATGCTCCCTGCCTTCAGCCCTGCACTGTCCCAATTACAGCTAAATAAGATTTTTTCATTACACTTTAGCCATCAGTACGAGTGCAACTTCTAGGTCATCATTTCGGTAATCTGAACAGACAATACCCAGCTTCTTCCTGAAACATGACCAATAAATGTGTTACTGAGCTCCTGTTTCCAACCTTAATGATTCTAGGATTCTGTGGCCTTTTGCTGTGAGGCTGACATCGTTGCTTGTTGATTTTTTTTTTGTGACCTCTTACCAGAAAGAGATTTCTCCTTGAGAATTTCCATGAGCTATTGGTTTGCTAAGCCAAAAGGGTTTACTTCAGCTTTGTTCTTCAGCAAAGCAAAAACCATGCAAAGCACACCTCCTGACCAAAGTTAGCACTTCTTCTGCTTGTTTCTGGATCATGCAAATAGGTTAAATCTCTAGAAGTTTGTATTCCTCAGAAAAAATGCAAGTTAGAGAACAAAGTTTCTTTTAAAGCTCAGATATTACTGCTACAAAAAGGCATCAGAGCCCATTATTTTCAAGTAAATAAACAACAGCCTGAGTTGTTCTCTGCTATTCTGGGAAATAGCTCCTCTTAACTGAAGTTTCACATTATTTTTTTGTTTGAAATTTGAATCAGCTCTTACTTCAAACCTGTAGACAATTGCATCTGTTCAGTTTTTCAGTGACTTCAGGGAAGCTTTTCTTAGTATATTCTCCCAGAGCATCTTCCAAAGAGATATGTTACAGCCACAGTCTGCTGAGCTGGTCCCTGCTCCCAACCAACCCAGCCAAGCCCCTCACATCAACTGCTCGTGCTTCCTATACACTGACATATACACCCCTCTTAGCAGTTAGAATTAGAATCTGACACTGGGTTTCAGGCTGTGAAGTCTGAATACAGAAAATTGATACAAAATATGGTGTTATAAGGCATGCAGCTGATTGAGGTGATCACTGGACTGGTGACTGACTTCTGTATTCGCAGTCCCAGGACAGAAGCAGAAACCTGATCTCTTAGCTGAGGAACATGCCTGGCAGTACTATTTCTAAAGCTCCTACTGCCTGCAGTATTGGGAGAAGTTCAGTTGACTTTCAGAACAGCCCCAGCTGGTTCTTAACAAGCCCCATAGTGCGGCCCATCTTGTCCCTGAATAACATGGTATGTGTGCCTCCTTCACTGGGATTTACATCTTCGGAGGGCTTCAGCTATCCTCTCTTTTGAGCAGTCCTGAT